CCCCTGACGCGCCAGGGTGGCAGTTCTACCACCCCACCTCTCGCCGTGTTCTGTTCTCCCAGGACGTCACGTTTGACGAGTCGGTCCCCTACTACCGTCTCTTCCCCTACCGCACTCCGTCCCTCCCCCCCCCACCGCTCTTTCTTGTGCTAGGTCCCCCCTTGGTAGACCCCCTTCCCCCTCAAGGTCCTGCCCCTTCAAGTGTGTCCCAGTTAGACACAGTTGAGCCTGTCGAGGTCACTGGTGACTCTGGTGCTGATGAGGGTGCTGAGCCTGGGGGTGCTGACTCTGGGGGTGCTGAGCGTGTGGGTGCTACGCCTGGGGGTGCTGAGCCTTGGGGTGCTGAGCCTGGGGGTGCTAAGCATGGGGGTGCTACGCCTGGGGGTGCTGAGCCTGGGGGTCCTTCGCATGGAGGTGCAAAGCCTGGGGGTGCGGAGCCTGAGGGAGCTGGGCCTGCTCGTTTGGCTTCTGGTGGTGCTGTGCCTGGCGGTTCTCCGGGTGCTTCGTCTCGGCGGGAGCCACTCTCTCCACAGGAGCTGCGCGAGTGGTTTGCCCGGCGCTGGAGGCGTGCTGCTGGAGCTGGAGTTTCTTAGGCTGCTGAGGGTGCTGGTGCCACGGGTCCCGGAGGTGCTCATACTGGGAGTCCTGGAGCTGCTGGGCCTGCGGGTACTTCAGGAGCTGGAGCTGATGAGGGTGTTGGCGCTGTCGGTCCTGGAGGCGGTCCTGCTGGGGGTGCTTCTTGTGCTGCTGGAGGTACTGGAGCTGGAGGTGCTGCTGGCGCTGGTGCTACCACTGGGGGTACTGGTGCTGTTCCTGCTGTGTCTGGAGTCGCCGCGCGGCCTCGGCCGTACTTCGTTCCGCTCCTTCAGCAGGTTCTTGGTCTCCCGTCTTCTACTAGTCCTCCTCCTCCCTTAGAGTGTCCACAGCCTGTCCCATCACAGTTACAGTTACAGCCGGCTTCCCCACTGCCTGCTCCTTCTCCCTACACTAGTCCTACTGGAGGTCTAACTGAGCGTCGTAAGCCTGCGTCTCGCCCTGCGTCGCCTGTCCGTGCTGCTCGCACTAGTGGTCGTGGTTCGCGTCAGCGTCCTCCTCCTGTCCCTGGCACGCACCGGATGTCTCTGCGTCCGCCCACTGCTCCTCTGCGTGCCTCTTTGCCTTCTCCTCCTCAGTCTTCTCTTCCTGCTCTTGCCGACCCCGAGTCGGACTCTCTTCGTGCTGCCAGTCCTACTGTCACGCGTCTCCTTGCCACTGTTGTCACTGACCCTTTCTTCGAGTCCACTACTGCGTCTGCCTTAGTTGCTGAGCTCGTCGACTTTGCTGCTCGCTGTCGTCTAGACTAAGCTGCCAGTCTTGTTGCTGAGTCTGTGTCTGTCTGTCCTCCGTCCGTCGGGGGTGAGTGTGCCCTTGGCACGGACGTCCTTGAGGACAGGCAGGAGGAGTTCCAGTGTCTGGCAGCTGCTTCACCTCATCTCTCGTCCGTACTGCTTACCCCTGAGGGAGACCCGGATGCACTTGACATCCCGACTCCGCGCTCTTACGCGGAGGCGATAGAGGGTCCCTACTCCTCTTAGTGGCAGGCAGCTATGGATGCAGAGATGGCTTCCTGGAAGTCCACAAGCACCTACGTTGACGCTATCCCCCCTCCTGGGGCGAACATCGTCAGTGGCATGTGGATCTTCAGGGTGAAGCGGCCGCCGGGTTCTCCGCCTGTCTTCAAGGCGCGTTACGTGGCTCGTGGCTTCAGTCAGCGGCAGGGAGTTGACTACTTTCAGACCTTCTCTCCCACCCCGAAGATGACCACTCTTCGGGTGCTGCTGCACATAACTACTCACCGTGACTACGAGCTACACTCTCTTGACTTCAGCACTGCTTTCTTGCAGGGCAGCCTGCACGAGGAGATCTGGCTGCGCCCCCCACCTGGCTTCACTGGGACTTTTCCTCCTGGCACCCAGTGGAGCCTCTGGCGGCCAGTCTACGGTCTCCGCCAGGCACTACGTGAGTGGCACGACACACTGAGGACTACACTTGCGGCTCTTGGGTTTGCTCCCTCTACTGCCGACCGTCGCTGTTTCTGCGCACCGACACCTCTCTGCCGCCGCTCTACATCCTCGTGTACGTCGACGCCCTGGTCTTTGCCACTGTTGACACTGCTGGTCTCGCCCACGTGAAGTCCGAGCTGCAGAAGAGACACACATGCACACACCTGGGTGAACTGCGCACCTACCTTGGCTTGCACATCACCCGGGACAGAGCATGCCGCACCATTACCCTGACTCTGTCACACATGGTGCAGCAGGTCCTTCAGCGCTTCGGCTTCACGTACTCCTCGCCTCAGGCCACTCCTCTGCCTACTCGCCACTCGCTCTCAGCTCTGCCTTCGGATGAGTCCGTAGAGTCGAGTGGCCCGTACCCAGAGCTTGTTGGCTGCCTCATGTACCTGATGACCTGCACACAACCTGACCTTGCATACCCTCTTAGCATTCTCGCACGCTATGTTGCTCAAGGGAGACACAGACCGGAGCACATGGCTGCAGCGAAGAGGGTGTTGCGCTACTTGTGCAGTACGTTGGGCATGGGGCTTGTGCTTGGAGGGCAGAGTCCAGTGGTCCTCGCTGGACACGAAGACGCTTCTTGGGCTGACGACCAGGCTACGCAGCGGTCGTCACAGGGTTACACCTTCAGCCTTGGTTCCGGCTCTGTTTCGTGGCGGGCTACCCGCTCGTCTTCTGTTCTCGGCTCCAGTTGTGAGGCTGAGATCTACGCAGGAGCCATGGCTGCACAGGAGCTTCGCTGGCTCACCTACCTGCCGACTGACCTCGGAGAGCCGCCCCGTTCTCCTCCAGTGCTGTACGTAGACAACAAGGCCATGCTGGCCTTGTGTCGAGAGGAGCGACTGGAGCACAGAACGAAGCACATTGCTCTCCGCTACTTTCTTGCTCGTGAGTTGCAGCAGCGTGGTTAGTTGCGCCTTGCATACGTGGCCTCTGAGGCCAACACTGCTGATATCTTCACCAAGGCGCTTGCGCCTTGTGATCATCAGCGCTTCTGTACTCAGTTGGGTCTTGTGTCTGCCTTACCTCACTTGCTCACCTCTTGACCTTGTTTTTACTGTTACATATATATATATACGCCTGCTCTTGCTTGTCTAGCCTTTTATATACATGTACTCCTGCATGTGAACTGGCCTTGTGGCCTTGAACTTGTGCTCGGAATGTGTCGTGACTTTGTGATCCACCCTGAGCTTGCTTTGCTTTGCTTGACTGGTCTTGTGACCCCTTGTTCTCCCCCACTTTGCCTATGGGGGTGTGTCAGATTTATATTACATAGCTACTGTAGGCTATAGTGGGGTAGCACATATGGGGTATAGCTTTCTAGGTTTGTACTTGTACCCAATTGTTTCATAGTCCATTCATTCTCGTTCTAGTTTTCTCAGCTCTGATAGCATGTGAAGATAGCAAGCAGAAAGAGAACAGCAGAAGGGGGGTTTCACTAGGATACATATAGCAAACCGTAGCAGGGCTGTACTCACTATAGAGTACCCCACTGCAGACTAGACAAATATAACATACTGACACTTCTGACACCTCGTCTTTGCACTCGGTAAGGTCTGTTCATGTAGCGTTCATGAATGTTTACTCGTGAAATTCATACCTCAACAAAAGGCCATAACTTTGGATAATGAAATTTCACGTGCTGGAGATGTCGCGTTTTTAATGAATTAAGGGTACATTCCGCGCTGGACATGTCCCTATCGAAAGTGTCTCAATCGTTTCTACCGCATTGCATCGTATTACACCACATTGCACCCTAGTTTTTAAATTTTCTCGTCTCTGGTTTAGTTCGGTTCGGAGCGATACACTTGATTGGGACACATCGATTGGTGTTGGGCTGAAGTGCCCTAGGATCTTTGTAGAGTTAAAGTCTGAGTAGGATGATGTAATAGCGGAAGCGTTGAATAAAAGGTCTTTGAACCACCTTGCGCTAGTATGTGAGGGCAAAGTAAGTTGATTAAAACAAGCAAATACAAAGATTTATATAATAGTGCAGGGAATACGAATAGATATAATTAAACTATTTTACTGTTGCGATTCGATACAGTGCGACTCGGGCAATTGCTCAATGTCGAGTCAGTTGTGTGTCCTTGCTGTCGCGCTGCATTTGTCAAGTCAAAGGTCGCTGACCTTTGACCTTCTCGTAACCTCCAGCGGTTACCCTAACCTCCGAGGGTTGACTCGTTGCGCTTCGATTTGAGCTGCTTCGCTTGTATCCTGAGTTTCGACAAGACAGAGGCGTTTACGACTTATTGTTCCCAACAATTGGGTCAGTGTCCATAGTGGAATGTACCCTAAGTGCTCGCAAACCCCAACGCTGCTACTTATTAACATATGCACAAAAACATACTCTAACAAATTATTCTGCTGCATTTTGTCGTACGATGAGTCGAATATCCTATGTTTACCTGAGTTGAGAGGAAGGGGTAAGGGGTTGCATGGAAAACTGTGAGATATGTGCTTGTATCCGAATAAGGTGGCATGATATTCGTGATATGTGTTTTGTTTCTCTTGTTTCTTACCGGCTCGGGTCCTCTTGGCGAATCTTTATTTGCCAGCATCAGCACCCGAAGACCTGAGGCATGGAGGTCTGACGGTTAGCTACTGAATGTGTCACTGCCATGACTGTCGCGCCGCCAGTTCTGTTGTGCTGTTTCTCCGAGGTGGACGACTCCATGGGGATCGACGAAAGGCGAGCACGAGGAAGGCGATGATTTCGAGGAAGCAACCTTAGAGAAGCGTAGCGACGGTGAAGCAGTGGCAGGAGGAAACGATCATAAGAGCATAGCACTGTCAGCCATGGTCGGAGCTCAAGGTTTCGTTTCTCGAAATTTCTCGCCAGTTGGATTGGTTAGGTCTCTGAAGCCACTTCCTGTCTTTCAGCACAGCCGTTTTCTGTCGTCGTCGTCCGTTTTGAGCGAATTTTGCGAACCCGTACCAGCCAGCATGATCCGAACCGCACCTATCCATAATCCTCGTATTCCGTTTGTCGTCGCTGCTCTTGCTTCTCCATCCCTTAGAACGTGCCTTTCGTTCTCGCGCAAGAATCCAGGCGTGCGGGTGTCAGGCAGGTTAAGCGCTACCAGAGGAGCAGAAAGAAAGCGAGGTGTTTCTTGCTTCTCGGGTACAAGAGTATTTTCCTCCATGGCGCAAGGGCAGCAAGTTGCGGGTATTGCGGACGATCGTGTCAGCCTTGGCGATGACGCGTCGTCGCGCATCCAGCTCTACTCTTTCGCCACTCCCAATGGCATGAAGGTGCGTGTAACGGTATTCACGATCTATGGCTTTCGCCACACTCCATGTCTCTCGTTCGTTTCGTCCCTCGCCTTGAGTTTGCATCCACCCTTCGTATGCTCTCACCGTGATACAGTATCTTGTCTCACCTATCTCACTTCCTCTTTCTCTCTTCCCCTCCCTTCACGTGAGCTTTGCATCTGGAGAAGATGCAGTTACCATGCGACGCGCACACGGTGATTGTTTCTGTGTCTGAAGATCTTATCGCGTATCTATCTCCCTCTCTTTCTGTCGCTTTCCCTCTCCCTCTCTCTTCAGGTGAGCATCGCTGGAGGAGATGCAGCTGTCAAACGATGCACACACTGTGAATTATAATTGTGTTTGTTTTTGAAGACTGTGTATCACCTATCACTCCCCCTCTATTTCCCTCTCGCTCTCCCTTCAGGAGGAGATGCAGCTGTCAAACGACGCACACACGGCAGTGTATGTGCGTCTGAAGATCTTGTATTGCTTATCACTCTCTCCTTCTCTCCCTCTCTCCCTCACCCTTCAGGTGAGCATCGCTCTGGAGGAGATGCAGCTGCCATACGACGCGCACATGGTGAACATAATGAAGGGCGAGCAGTTCAACCGGGAATTCATTGCAATCAACCCCAACAACAAGATCCCTGCCATCGTGGATCCCAAGGCAGGCCCAGGTGACGCGATTGTATGTAATGTGTCAAGAGACAGCGGTACCGCAGTCTCTGTCCGATGCTTATAGTTTTATCTCGATCTGGGTTGCTCAATGTAGGATCAGTGATTGCTTCTGGCGCAGTTCACTATTCTCATTCTGCATCTCAACACCGGATTACATATGTGTTTTCCTGTTCGCCCTCCCACCAGGCGGCATCCCATTGAAGGTATTTGAGAGTGGCGCCATCCTGCTGTATCTGGCGGAGAAGGTTCGAGACATCTCGACACCCGAATATTAATAGATTTTCCTGTTTGCCCTCCCACCAGGTGGCACCCCTTTGAAGATATTTGAGAGCGGGGCGATCCTGCTGTATCTGGCGGAGAAGTCGGGCAAGTTTCTGCCGCAGGATGCCGTGCAGCGATGGGAGACCATTTCCTGGCTCTTCTTCCAAGTGGGCGGCGTTGGTCCCATGTTCGGCCAGGTGGGGTGTTCAGTGTTGAACCCATGTTAGGCCAGGTGGGGTGTTCAGTGTTGAACCCATGTTCGGCCAGGTGGGGTGTTCAGTGTTGAACCCATGTTCGGCCAGGTGGGGTGTTCAGTGTTGAACCCATGTTCGGGCAGGTGGGGTGTTCAGTGTTGAACCCATGTTCGGCCAGGTGGGGTGTTCAGTGTTGAACCCATGTTCGGCCAGGTGGGGTGTTCAGTGTTGAACCCATGTTCGGCCAGGTGGGGTGTTCAGTGTTGAACCCATGTTCGGCCAGGTGGGGTGTTCAGTGTTGAACCCATGTTCGGCCAGGTGGGGTGTTCAGTGTTGAACCCATGTTCGGCCAGGTGGGGTGTTCAGTGTTGAACCCATGTTCGGCCAGGTGGGGTGTTCAGTGTTGAACCCATGTTCGGCCAGGTGGGGTGTTCAGTGTTGAACCCATGTTCGGCCAGGTGGGGTGTTCAGTGTTGAACCCATGTTAGGCCAGGTGGGGTGTTCAGTGTTGAACCCATGTTCGGCCAGGTGGGGTGTTCAGTGTTGAACCCATGTTCGGCCAGGTGGGGTGTTCAGTGTTGAACCCATGTTCGGCCAGGTGAAATATTCAGTGTTGAACCCATGTTCGGCCAGGTGGGGTGTTCAGTGTTGAACCCATGTTCGGCCAGGTGGAGTGTTCAGTGTTGAACCCATGTTCGGCCAGGTGGGGTGTTCAGTGTTGAACCCATGTTCGGCCAGGTGGGGTGTTCAGTGTTGAACCCATGTTCGGCCAGGTGGGGTGTTCAGTGTTGAACCCATGTTCGGCCAGGTGGGGTGTTCAGTGTTGAACCCATGTTCGGCCAGGTGGGGTGTTCAGTGTTGAACCCATGTTCGGCCAGATGGGGTGTTCAGTGTTGAACCCATGTTCGGCCAGGTGGGGTGTTCAGTGTTGAACCCATGTTCGGCCAGGTGTGTGTTTCCTGTTCGGCCAGGTGAGGGATATTAGGCGGACGTATCTTTGACCAGGAAGGATGTCTGATGTGGGAATCATGTCTGGTTGGGTGAGATGCCTGTTGTGTGAACCATGTTCGGCCATGTGAGGTGTTTTATCTGATGTGCCAAGAATTTCCTCGTAAGCTCTCGTCTCTATTTGTCCAACTTGCGTGGTAAATGCTGAAACTTCTGGAGACGCTGGGACCACTGCAGATGCTGAACACACCTTTCACCACACAATGCCTTGGGCCTATCGTTTTACAGTCAAGAGGTCGAGTGAAAGCACCGTTGAAGAGCAGGTCAGGTGAGTGCAGGTTCGGTAAGAGAGGGCCAGGGTGATTCCGGTTCGGTAAGAGCAGGTAAGATAAGAGCTGGTCAGGTGATGTGAGGTTCGGTAAGCGAGGGTCTGGTAAGAGAAAGTTACTCAAAGTGGGAGGCCGTTGTCCAATTACTGCAACCATCCGTACGCTCTTCAGCATATGGAATTCGTTTAAATAATACTCAACTCTTCCTCCTTCGTGCCTTTTCCTCCATCAACTTCCTCCTTTTTTTTTCCCTCTCCTCTTTGACAGTTTGGCATTAAGTACAAGTTCGCTTGCTAGGAGTGTGAACCCGAAGAGCAAAACATGAGGATAGATAGTGATAACAAAATCAAGAGGTTTGCGAATTATGGAGAAGTGGAGGATGCTGCGGTAATCGTGGAACCAGCGACCAGCCGGTTCATAAGCTTTGCGGTGATGACGTTCAAGCTGGTCTCTCAAAAAACGCATGGATCAACCGGTCGCTGGTTTTACGATGAGCGTTGCATTCTCCACTTCCCGTACTCCGCAAACCTCTCCAAGCGAAATTGACGTAATGTGACCACCCATATTCTCTCTAGTGTACTTTGACCTTGCCAATTTTTACCTTCTCCTCCCCCCTCCCCCCCTCTTCCACATCCCCTTCTTCCTCTCTTTCCCCTCTCCTCCAGTTCGGCATGTTTTACAAGTTTGCACGGGAGCAGTGCGACCACCCGTACCCCCTGCAGCGCTACACGGAGGAGACGCGGCGGCTGCTGGGGGTGCTGGAGAAGCGGCTGGAGGGGAGGGAGTTCCTGGTGGATGCGGGGTACACCATTGCTGACATGGCCACCTTCCCCTGGGTCAACTCGCTGCAGGTGCGTGGGTGTGGGCCGGGTGGGTGCGTTACTTGGTTATCAGCTTGCTCTGGGTGGGTGGGTGGTTCAGTTGGTATGCTTGTGGTTGCGACTGGAGAATGCGGCTGGAGGGGAGGGAGATCCTCATCGATGCGGGGCACACCATCGCTGACATGGCCATCTTCCCCTGGGTCAACTCGCTGCAGGTGGGTGGGTGGGTTTGGCAGGGTGGGTGGCTTTTGTGGCTAGTTCGCTGGTGGTGGGCTGTTCTCACAGCTAGTTTTGCTGCGACTCCAGGCTTATGGTACATTGTCTCTTGACTAAGGCATGTACTATGTTAAATGCAGTAATACTTGATAATGTACTGCTTGTGTTTTTCTTCAGGTGTTTTACAAAGCGGATGACCAGCTGCATCTGTCGTCCTATCCTCGGGTTTTGGAGTGGAAGGATCGTTGCATGGCGCGCCCTCTCACAGCCAAGGGCATGCTCGTCTGCTCTGTTGGGCTGAGATAGCCCCTTAGGATCTTTGCAAGGGATAACTCTAGGTGAAGTAGTTGTAATAGCGGAAGCGTTTAGTGAAGAATTTGAACCGACCTTGCACTGGTGTGTGAGAGCAAAGTTGATTGAATTAAACAAGCAAATACAAGGATTTATATAAGAGTACAGGGAATAGATAGATAACTGTATTGCTGTTGCGGTTCGATATAGCGCGACTCGGGCAACTGCTCTGTAACGAGTCAGTTGTGTGTCCTTAACTGTCGCGCTGTAATTGTCGAGTCAAAGGTCAGCGACCTTTGACTTTCTCGTAACCTCCAGGCGGTTACCCTAACCTCCGAGGTTGACTCGATGCTTCGATTGGGACTGCTTCGCTTGGTACCTTGGATTTTGATACGACAGAAGCGCACTTAGGACTTATTGTTTCCAACACTCCCCTTCGCTTCTGGAGTGTTACTGCTGGTGACGTGGCCTTGTCCAGTCAGCATCATGCAGTATTCGAACTTCTGCTTGCCGAGTTTCTTGGTCAAGTAATCGGCTGCCATCTCGGATGTTGGACAGTATGACAGATCGAGTTTCCCTTTTTCTATCTCGTCCTTCACGAAGAAATAGCGCAGGGCGATGTGTTTCGTCCTGTTTGCGAAGCCGTTTTTGTTGGCGATGCGAATTGCTGACTGGTTGTCGCAGAACACGGTGAAGCTGGGTAACTCGGCTAGCTTCGCTTCTTCCAGTAGTTCGCGAAGGTAAAGTCCCTCCTTGGTGGCTGAGCAGAGTGCAATATATTCTGCTTCTGCTGAAGATAGTGCGATTAACTCCTGCTTGCTCGACTGCCAGGAGATAGGACCGATAGGCTCAAGGCGGTAAACATAGCCGGTGCGTGAGCGCCTGTTGTCGGTGTCGCCGGCGTGATCGGCGTCGACGTAGCCGATTAGCTTAGTCGGTGTAGCTGCGCTCTTGTGGTAGGTTAGCCCGATCGTCGCGGTGCTGACGAAGTAGTGGAGAGCGCGATCAAGTTCCGCCAGGTGTTCAGCTTCAGGCTTCTTGAGATAGGTGGCGAGCTGACTTGCGGAGTAGGATAAGTCAGGACGGCAGGTGACGGCGGCGAATAGCAGGCATCCGAGCTTCTTCTGATAGTCGCGTATGCCGGCGGGCTTTAGTAGAGTAGTTCGTTCCTTCTCGGTTCCTGATGTGTAGCGGTAGGGCGTGGAGATGGCGCTTGGTGTGAGGCTGAAGCGTTTCGCGATGGTGTCGGCGTATTTCTCGGCGCTTAGATAGATGGCGTTTTCTTCTTCGCGGATGTTGAGCCCGAGGTACTGTGTAACGGTGGAGGAGACCGTGAGCGTGAGGTCTTTCTGGAGCTCTCCTTCGAACCACGTGGCGATGCCGTCGGTTGACCCAATGTAGAGGAGATCGTCCACGTAGACGATCAGGAGAACGTAGTCGCTTCCCTTAGTGAGGCGGTACATGCCTTGGTCGTGAGGTAGTTGACTAAAGCCGATGCGGATGAGACGGGCGTGCAGGTACTGCTGCCACAGTCGCGGTGCCTGCTTGATCCCGTAGAGCGACTTAAGTAGTTGACAGATTCGGTTGGGTTCGCCGTGGGAACCGTGCGGGAGCTCGACGTAGATTTCTGCATCCACAGGTGCGTAGAGGAAGGCATTCGCGACGTCGATCTGCCGTAACTTCTTCTTCTTCATGGCGGCAATGGCGAGGAGAATTCGGAGTGACGTGTAGCGGCTGACTGGAGCAAAGGTCTCGGTGAAGTCTCGTCCTTGCTCTTGGTCGAATCCACGTACGACCCAGCGTGCTTTGAATTTTTCGATCGTGCCGTCTGCTTTCGTCTTGATGCGGAAGACCCATTTCCCGGTAAGGATGGTTTTGTTCCGTGCCACGCTTACGGGAACAACCTTCCAAGTGTTGCGTTCCTCTAATGCCTTCAGTTCTCTATCCATGGCTTCACGCCATTTCTCCCTGTGTTCCCCCCCCAGAGCTTGCTGAACCGTTGCAGGCTCCTTAGGAAGCGAGCTGCGTGTGTTCCCGTGGACTGCGGTGACGAGGCCGAGGATTTGCAGCCCAGTCTGTGAGTATCGAGGGAGTTCTGGATCCTCGGGATAAGCTGCTTCGTCTCCCGTTTCTGGGTTGGGCATGAAGTTTGGCCCTACCCTTTCTGCTTCGTTGGTGTTGACTGTCACAGGTGTTACGTAACCATCGTCGGCGAAACGGTAGAAGATTTCGGCGTTGTTACTGTCGCGAGGATTATCCTCATCCATGGGCACGTCGACGGAGCAGTATGGGAGAGGTCCGGCTTCTTCTGAGGCGTTGTCGACGTTCTGTTCATCCCAGTCTGCTTCGTCCACTGCTGACGCGAAGGCTCGGTCACCACGAAAACCACTGGTGAGGTCCCGATTCTCGTGCAAGTTGGCGAGGTACGTCTGAAGGGTGAGTCTTTCGTAGAAGATCACGTCACGTGCTGCTACTGTTTCCTTTGTGTGGACGTCGAAGATTTTCCATGCGTTGTAATTTTTCTCGATGCCGAGGTGTAGTCCCCACTGTGCCCGTTGCGAAAATCTTCCCGCTCGTGCTTCTGGGGGTCTGTACTGTACCATGCACCCGAAAACTCGTAACATTTTCGTGCTGCCCTGCTTCCCTGTCCACAGCAGATGCGGTGATGCGTTGTTCGGGAGTGACGACGACGACAACAAGTTGTGTAGCATGACAGCGTGGTCCATTGCTGCTGGCCACTGGTGGTTGGGTAGCCGCATGCCACGTAATAGTTTGCGCATGCTGTTCTGCAGGGTCCTGTTCAGTCGTTCTGCAACACCTTGCTGCTGATGTGCGTAGGGAAGGGAGAGGAGTTGCTTGATCCCCCTTTCCGCCAAGAACTGCTTGAAGCGGTGAGAGGTGTACTCGCCACCTCCGTCTGACTGGAAATTTTTCAGTTGTGTTCCAGACTCTCTCTCTGCTATCGGTAGCCAGGCGGCGAATGCTGCGAGCGCCATGTCGCGGCTGGGTAGGTTGCGATGCCAGACGTATCGAGTGGCGGCGTCGATGAAGGTGATGGTGTAGTTGTAGTTGACTTGTCCTGGCTCGCGATTGTAGAGGATGTCGCTGTAGACTTTTTCGAGTGGTGCGTACGCTGGAGCGCTCGGGTTGTGATGTGAAGCAAACGGTCGATGAGGTAAGTCAGCTTCGGGACATATAAGGCAAGTCCCTCGTGCCTTCTGGAGTTCTCTGCCATCGGGTAGAAGTAGAGAATCTTTGTCAAGGACTCCTGCTCTTATCGTGTTATTCAAAACCGTGTTGCTTGGATGTCCTGTTCGTGCGTGCCAGATCTCTTCAGAGGCGCGGTGTCCAGGTGAACGCTGATATGCGTCGGAGTTGGAGTAAAAGCTGGCGACGAGGTTGGCGCTTCGGTGGACTTCACGTTGAGTCGGATTCAGCTGTTTCGCGGGTGTTGGTGGTGCTTCGTCGACTGTGACTGGTGTCGTTGTTCCTGCTGCTGCTGATGTTGTTGCTGCTGCCGATGTTGTTGCTGCTGCCGATGTTGTTACTGCTGCCGATTGTCGAATTGTTGCTAATGCTCGTGTTCGTTCTGCTTCAGGAATGGTGTGCGAGTACCAGAAGCCTCCTGGGCTGAAGTCGGGGTCGAGATCCGGAGGGTGTGTCCAGTCAGTGAAATTCACGATGGCGTCGCTGTCTGCAGTGCCCAGGTCAGGAACGAAGTCGAGGACGAAGACGTTGTTCTTCAGCACTGCTTTCCCGATGTAGAGACCGCCTCTCCCGTGGTAAAGTTTGAACTCCTGGGTCGTGCTGTCGGCTTCCAGATGAATTCCTTTCGCCATCAACTGGCTAACGCTCAGTAAGTTGTAGCCGAGTCCTTCAGCGATGAGTACCTTAGACATGTGCAGTATGACATTTGTTTCTCTTGACTGAAGCTGTACCACTCCTTGTCTTCGTGTGCGCAGGTTTTGGTTGTTGGCAACCGTGATGATCACTTCCCGTTGGAGTCGATGTTCGCGTTGTACGAAACGCCCGGACGAGCACATGTGTTGCCCGCAGCAACTGTCCAAGAACCAGGTGTCTTGGCCGGACGGTTCACTTTGAGCGATGGCGGCGTACGTTGGATTCGGCTGGAGTAGCTCACGGCGAGGCGTTCTGTTGTCAAGCTCTTCTTCCGGTGAGTAGTGTGGTGGTGATTCGGTTGTACATGAATCGGTTATCTTCGTCATGCAGTTGATTATATTTCTTGCTCCTTGTGCAGGTTGTCCGGGTGAAGTCGTTGAAGCTTGAATAGTGGTCGTCGCACTTGCTTGTGTTGAAGCCATTTGGGAGCTTGAAGGTCGAAGTTGTCGCTGTGGTGCCGTTGATTGCTGACGATTCGGGCAGTGTGTGCGCGGGTGCCCTGAAGTCTTGCAGATGTGGCAGAAGGGAGGTACTATCTTCGGTTGCTGCTGTCGGTTGTTATAATTGCTGTGTCGTCGTTGAGTGTGGAATGCGAACTCTGATACTGTCGTTTTCTTCCTGTGTCGTTCTTCCTGCAGGTCCATATCTTGCTGCTCGGCATGTATTTCGGCGCAGAGTGCAGCTTCAGAGATTCTTCCGTGGGCTCGAAGAATGGCTTTGGTGGCGCGCCACTGAGGACCAAGCCCACCAATGATGACTGTCACGAAGGCGTCTTCAGAGATTGACCCTCCGCATCGAAGCAGCTTGTCGCGCAGTTCGCGACATCGGCTGATATACGCCAGCCCTTTTTCTCCTGGTTTCATTTCGACTGTCGTCAACTGCGCCATTAACCTGCTCTGGTTTACACTGTCTGTTGCTTGATACAGGTTCTTCAGATGGCTGTACGCGAGCTCCGCCGAGTTGCCGAAGGTCCGGTAAGAGCGAATGTTCTGCTGCTGAGTTGGTGTCACGTTCCTCAATAGGATTGTATACGCCATCATTGATTGATACGTATACTGCTGCCTTTCATATTGTGTCCCGTTGGCTGGATACTGCAGGGACCCGTCGAAGAAGCC